TTTTTAATCTCAAATATGCTTCAAGATTTGTGTTTGATTATATATATATTTGAACAATAACTACTCCTAAAATTTCTAATTAATATAGGCCAATATATATAAATTCCACTTTGACCTGCCTGCCTAGAAATGATTTTCAAAGAAAATTTAAAGTATCATTGAACAATCAATTCAACCCTCCCAAGAGGACCCTCCCAACCTTTTGGCATGCCTTTGAGCTAAAAAGTGATGAGGTTTGATTTTCAAAATTTAAAAATCTTATGATGATAGTAAAATAGGAAGAACAACTTTGCAGTATATGGGAGATAATTCTGGGGTGGATGTGAGGGTTCATCTTGATTGGCTTCAATATTCGTCTGATTTTGAATCTGATTCTTCTTCGAAATATTGTGAAGGTTCTGATCCTAGATATGATTTTAAATCGGCTCATGACTGCCCGGTTGTCTCTATTGGATCTCGTGGGAGAGGTAGATGGGATAGGTAGTTTTCTTGGTTTTTTTGGCCCTCTTCTCTGGCTGGTTTTTTTTTTTGTGATTCATTCGAGTTTTGTTGGTCGTCAATTCGCTGGACTATGATGTAGTTGGGGCTCGTTTCTTCGTCATCATGGCTCATGGCAATCTTTGGTGTTCGTCTCTTGCTCGGGTGGCTTGGCTGGTCGGTTTGCTTGATTGCGTTTATCTTCACCAAATTGGAGGGTCCGTACTTGACTTCAAGGAAGCTGAGAGCCTCGGCCAATCACTGAGCCAGTTTGAGTTCTTATTGTTTTTTTTTTTTTTTTTTTTTCTTTTCCCTAGCTTCTTTCCTCATGGTCTATTTTTTTGGTTATAGGATTTTTACGTGGGGGCTATTTGGTTGGAGTAAAAATGAATGCAAAGCATTTACTATGTTTTCTTTTTTCACTTTTTGATATTTGGTTGGATGAAAAGCAAATTCTAAATACAATTTATTTCATTCTAATTCAATTTTGAGGTAAAGCATTCTACCCAATTTTGAGCATTCCAAGAATACTTTACATTGCTTGATTATTGCTTGTGCAACCTGCCGACTATCATCTGCCACCGCCGACCACAGTCAACTTCCACCGCTGGCTGCCGCCGCTATCGTCCACCATATCCGTCGGCCATTATTGACTATCGCCGATCGTCACAGCCGCACACCAATGGCAGCCATCGCCCGCTACCCACTGCCACCATCATTTGAAATTTTACTATACATTCATTATTTCTAAAAAAAAAAAAAATTCACCTGCATTTATTTTACATTTATCCAAACAACTTCAAAATATTCTTTTTACACTATATTATATTTTTTTTTTTCAGCCAACAAAATAGCCCCTCATCTAGAAATCAGAAATGCTTTTAATGGTGTGATAAGGAGGCATCCCTTATCCTCCCAACCAACAGACCCACACTTATGGAAGATTTGTGCTTGGCTTTTTTTTTAAGGGACATTTAAGTCAATTAAAATAGACTCACACATACATCAACAACCAACACATCAAGGTGAGCTATGCTAGTCAATTTTTTCCCCATATAGAATAAAGATCTATGCAGATCTTTCTAGAAAAAGTTGATGTGCCCAAGTAAAAGGAAACCTTTTGTGCAATATCTCGTAGGTGGGATAGCAGCCCAAGAGCGGTCCAGGTAGCTGGTACAATATCTCGTTATATATATATATATATATAGTGGGAAAATCATGTTGTATCGTAGGCTCTCAGACATTCACGGCTTCTCAACGGCGGAGGTATTTCTTTATGTTTTCTATCTTTCTTGAGAACCTGGCTTTTACTGATTGATTACTTCAGGTTTCTTTGAGGCTAGGCTGTTTTGTTGGAGTTAATGCAAATTTTGCTTTTTTCTTAACTCCATGTAGGGTGTTGTAGCCTGGTGTTTTTGCACCTTTTTTTTATTCTTTTCCATGTTACACTTGTATTCTTTCTTCATTTTAATGAAAATGGGCTAAGTCCTTAATTCTATAAAAAAAAAAATTCTTATTATTATATTACATTTAAGAATCTCGTATGGAGTATTGCAAAAATGTTTCCTTTTCCTTAGGCACATCAACTTTGTCGAGAAAATGTGCATAGATCTTTAATCTATATTGTTAAGAATTGGCAAGCTTAATAAGTGTGGGTCTTTTCATAAAACTCTACAAGTGTTAATAAAATAATATAAAAGAAGTAGGGAAGTTGATTTAGAAAGTAATAAAAAGCTGTCCCAAACAAAATCTTACATTTCATTATTATCATAAGATTTTTAAATTTTGAGAATCAAACTTCAACTATTTTTCGCATCGTCGTTTTTTTTTTTTTTTCTTTTTATATGCATATGTTGAGTGATCTATTTAGTTTGTTTGAAAATATGGGACTAAAGTCCCTTGTGTTAGCCAAAATGCATGCCAAGAAGTTGGCAGGGTTGAATTAGTTGTTCAATGATACTTTCCATTTTCTTTAAAAAATAATTCCCAATTCAAATCTTGCCTAATAACTAGCATTTCAAACCTAATAAGGAGACATCCACATTTTAGATAACTAATATGATGAACTAGTACTCTTATAAGAAGTTGTCATCTAGAAGAATCGGCTGGATTGGTTGGACCTAAGAGTTTAGTCCAAAAGCTTAGGTGTCTATCGAGTCTAATAGATTGATACCCTCAACTCCTCAAAGATCGGACTTATTGTCACTTGGCTCAACTTTCCATCCATCGACATCCTTATAAACATCAATTATATTATCTCATGTCACATTATCGAAAAATAGTTAGTCTCTTCATAATTGTTATGGTGTCACTTGTTGGTTGGTTCATAATTGTTTTTTAATGCTCTTCAAATTATCTAAGGCAGTGACGCTTAGTGAAATGAACATTTCAAGCTGAAGTGTTCACTAAGGTCTTACAATTGTTATAAATATTATACTCCCAAGAAATTTCTATTCACTTGACCACAATAGCGTAGAATGATTCCAACATTGATGGTCATGAAAGATAAAAATAGAAGGCTAAAAATCATTTAAAGTGTAATTGATGTTAAAAAAAGCTAAAATTAGATAATTCAAATCAATATTTTTTGTGATTTGTTTTATTGGTTGGGAAATATATCAAACACAAAACTAGCTACCCAGTTTTTGCTTTGCAATAAACGCTAATCTTATGTTTTTTATCATTCATATTCTTAAGTTTGACTTATTATTAATGCATATGCTTGTGATATCTACTCCAGGTACAATACATAACACTAAAAAGTCCACCATAGCAAGTGTCAACATTTTCTAAATCATCCAATGGCATCATTGTCCTCTCCTCCATCCACTGGCAAACTAAACTACTACTACATACTCTGCATATTCTCATTTATCTTCATTGTACTCCTCATCATCAGCTTTATCGCTATGGGTTGTTGCACATGGTTTCAACGCCAATTTCTCTCAATGCGTCGCTTGCTCAACCGCAACCATAACGACTTGGAAATGCATCATTGGATTTCGACGTTCAAATATCACAAGGAAGCAAGAGTTGGAGGAGAGGAAGAGGGAGCAGCACTAGAGTGTGTGATTTGTCTATCAACATTCAATGAGGGAGATGAGGTTAGCCAATTATTGTCATGTAAACATTTATTTCATGCATCTTGCATTGACTTGTGGCTCAACACACATAACAATTGTCCGATCTGTCGTGGCATTGTTATATTGCATTCTATGAATATGTTCCCTTAGTTTTGATTTCTTAAGAAAATTAATATCATTCCATTGGAGGAAGATTGTGCCAATGATGTCTGAAGGTGTTGGAAAATTTATTTGTGATTTTAAATTATTTTTTATGTATCAGAGAACGACTAGCATTTAAAATATTGTCAATATAAACACTTTGTATTTTTTGTGAAGAATGATAATCTTCAAACTCATTTGAAGCATCATTACGTTTTGGATGTTTTATGTATGGATTCATTACGGTCATCTCAAGGAATTTGGGCTTCACTCTTTTGTTATGAAGAGGCGTATCTCTTTCTATTGTTATTGATTTTTGTCTAATCAACTTGCATGATAGTGATTTTTAAAAATTGCAACAACATTTCTTTTTGTGATTAAAATTACAGTAACAATATGTTAAAACTATGACCAATGCCAATATTTTAGTAGCATTAGAAAGAAACAATATGTATGTCTGTTTTGACCATCCACATAAGAGCTAGAGCCTATTCTTAATATATATATAGACAACAAAAGGGAGTAATAGGGGAAAATATAATGAATAAAAATATTCTTAATAATTATGAAATATTTAGGAATAAAATTTTACTATATATACTACACACAGGGTTCTAACATTTAATTGAAAATGAAACATTCCAATAATCATTAAAAAAATTTCCATCAAAGCAAAAAGCCAAAAAAGAAAGTTTTAATTATCTTCATTCACTATGAATGCATGCAAAAAATAGGAAATGCATTAAATCTTATATAAATGAAATCTTTTGAGGTTCATAAATGTCCAATGACTACATTCAATAGATCTATCAAAGGACTTTGGCTCAAGCAATATACTTGTTAATTTGTTTGTTGTTAGCTTCATAATGAAAATGAGATTAGAATAAACAAGTCATTATATATCAATCTTAATTAAAGGGGGATTTGAAGTTATCTTTTCTAAGTTATTTCAGATTAGAGATGGATTATTTTTAAGTGATTTTTTTCCTGTAGCTTGGAGAAAGACAAATAGATTCATGTACTGCATAGGGAGGTTATTAACAACAAAATTTCTTAAAACATTCAAATATTCTCAAACCCAATCATATACAGCTTTACATATAGAGATGTTGCTCCTGTATAAATTATTTTTTTTTTATTTACCATTTATCTGCTTTGCTGATCCTCTTCCAAGACTACATTCAATAGATCTATCAAAGGACTTTGACTCAAGCAATATACTTGTTAATTTGTTTGTTGTTAGCTTCATAATGAAAATGATATTAGAATAAACAAGTCATTATATATCAATCTTAAAGGAGGATTTTCAAAGTTCTTTTACATTAGAGACGGATTATTTTTAAGTGATTTTTTTCCTGTGGCTTGGAGAAAGACAAATAGATTCATGTACTGCATAGGGAGGTTATTAACAACAAAATTTATTAAAACATTCAAATATTCTCAAACCCAATCATATACAGCTTTACATATAGAGATGATGCTCCTGTATAAATTATTTTTTTTTTATTTACCATTTATCTGCTTTGCTGATCCTCTTCCAATACTGAGCCTATATTTTACATCAGGAAAATGTCAGAGAATAAACACGTTTAACGATAGAATTAACTGTATTGAAAGCTATAAATGAAAGCTCTTTGATAAATGACATAAATACATGCCCACATATTCTGCAAAAGTAAAATATTTCAATGAGAAAATATGCTCAATCAAAATATATAAATTTAAAATAATTAATTGTAAATTATATTCATCTTAAAGTAAATTTAATAATTATAAAACTAACTTTAATCAAATTTAACCAAAATTTTTCCATGTAAATCAACAGTAAGTATGGCACTTATGTAAATGGCACATCATTAATGATAATTGCCATGGAAGCAACTGTCAACTATAGATCTAACCAAAAATACCACCCACAGCACAAAAAATAGCCTACCAACGCTCTTTCTAGTGATACAACAATTGTTTGGTGGGCGAGTGCATTTGGGAGGTAGTGCGGTTGGGAACCTCCCCGTGGTCGATTCCCCTCGAGCGGCAGCACCTCTTAAGTGGGCCCAATCAAGTGCGGACTAGGAGGTTTCTGGGGTGGGTGCCTCTTCCAGGTCAGTCGAGGATTATTCACACCGCCAAGCACCCTTTCGGGGGTGACAGCAGCTGGATACCCCGTTCCACAAAAAAAATTGTGTGCGCGTGCCAAAAGTTTCATTTCCATATGAACTATAGTAGCCCAACATTACTAGGACAGCTAATACTCGCAAGCTCAAATAGTTAGGATATAAAGTCTTTAATGACATGCCCAATCATGCTAAGTTCTACTATGGCTTTTCTCTGATGCCATACCAAAACTAAGTTTATGTCGTACCTAATCTACATAGCATACCCCATATTTTATACAACATGATATTCTCAGCTTACCTTAACATTTTTACCAGAGATTTATCAAAGAAACCATCATTTTTGACACATTCCAACATCCATTCATGCCTTTATACAGCATGATATTTCTCAATTTAAAATAAATATAAAATAATATGGAACTCATTCAGCCACAAGATTCCTTGGAATAAGAAGGTAACATGCAAAAGTTAAAGACGGTTACCTCAATTAAACAATATCTACAGCTCCTGCCCGGGCATTTTTAGCTTTGTGAGCTTATCTCTCCACAAAGCTATAAGACAAAAAGAAAAATTTAGATTGATTGCAATAAATACTTCATACACAATGAATGCTACTATCACGTGCCTGCATCTTCAAATCTCTCCTCTAGTACTGCTTCATTCATTTTTTGAACCAAATCAAGCTCCTCAATAAGCGGATCTGGTTCTTCTGGTGCACTGCAAAGGGAAAGTCAAGCTTTTGATGCATTAAACCATTATTTAATGGATGATCGTAAGCTATTTACAACAACTAAAAGAGAATCACACAGAACACTAAAAAGCTTTTAAAATAATTGCACATAGCAGCATTTCCATGAAATAAACTTACCAATGAAGATTTTTGTTGTAATGTCATGCAAAAAATACGTGAGATATTTGTAAAGAAAAATACCATGAAAGGTGCATTAAATTTCACATCAGTCGACAATAAGGCTGACACCAAATAAGAAGTTTATCATTAAGGAAGTCGGTTACCATCTGAAGTATGACAAACAACATAAGAGAATATAAATAAAAAAGAATGCTATTAATTTCAGGTGGGAACGGGGATGGGGCCAGGAAAGGAAAGCTCTTCATCAGAGATAATGAACATATAAATTTTTCAAGGAACTGCAACTCCCAACGTTAATGAAATTTTAGGTTAACAACCTTAAAGAGATTATATTAAGGAAGATTAAAGTAGTGACCAGTGCAAACTTTTCAAACCTTCAAGAAAAATAACAGCCATTAAAATGAGAAATGGCAATTCCATCAAGTAAATCATGCGATAAGACGAGATGGAAAAAATATTTGTATAAATGAACTTTACAAAGTTTGATACCGTTAAATGAACTCACCACCAGAAGGTATTTAAAAGTTGGGTAGGATCAAATTCTAAGGCTTGAGAAAGGTCAAGCAAAAAGTCCAAAAACAATCCTCAGTAGAAAATGAAGCGGAGTTCTATTATCCAAAGTAAAGAACTAAAATTAAATGGCAGGTGTGGATGTGGCATGAGATGAGAAGCTTTCAACAGTCTAAATATTTCTTTTCAATTAAAGCCAAGTTATGACTAGTTATTACTTATAGATACACCAAGAGATACAAACTTAATGAAAACTATAGTTCTTTTTTCATTTCTTTTCTTTTTTTTTTTTAGTGAAAAAAAAGAGGCAAAAAGAGAGAGAGAGGAAATAATACACAAGTTGAAGAAAGGACAATGATAATCCTAGAATGCCTAAAGAAGAATTTCACGATAAGTGATTAGCTGTGAATGTTGTCTCCTTTCATAGGAAGTTCTCTATGGAAGCATGCTCACACTCTCAAATATTCCTCAATTGAAGGTGGAATAGCACAAAAAAATTTCAGCACTTAGAAAAAAAAATTCGATCATTCAGCACCCACCACATTATCTTATGGGGTATATCTAACAAGCGAAAGGAGATCAAGGGAGGGGATGGCCTACCAAGGCTCTTTGGATGGGACAAATGAATTAGAATTGAGAAAATGAAGAGTTGCATGTAGTTTCCAAGACAGTAAGTAAAACTTGATTAATTTTTTAAAATTTCTACAAGAAAGAGACGGACACCTTAATAAAGAAAGAAAATATGGACGGTCTAGTGATTGGTTTGAAAGGGAAATTTAAATTGTTTTAGCACTTGTAATAAATGCATGCCATGCAAAAGTTCACATCATACATAAAATCCTTGCTATAAAAATGTAACTCAAAAAATGAAGACACCAAGAAACTTAGAGATAAAAAAAAACATGATAAAGAACCTTGGATATATGAAATAAAAACTTTAATGACCATGAAGGTGATCACGACAATAATGCAGTAAATCAATTTCTATCAACTTTGAAGATGAATTCACCACCAGTGAATGAAGCCCTTGATATTCTTGAAGAATATTTGGAGAAAGCTGTTGAAGCTCCTGAAGTGGCAATCATCAATAATCTAATAGAGAAAGACACTTTTAAAAAATAATGTACTGCTGGACCCCACCACATGCACTTACAAAAAAAAAAAAGTTCACATCATGCATAAAATCTTCACTATGCAAATGTCACTAAAAAATAAAATACATGCTCAAGACCCTTGGTACTTGTAATAAAAACACTGATGACTAAGCCAATAATGCAATAGATCAACTCCCCACAGCTTCCAAGAATTCACCATAATGAATAAAGATCAAAATATATTTAAGTAAATATGGAGAAATTCTTGGAGATCCTCTAGTGTCAACCATGAATCATCCAATAATTAAAGACGCTTCTCCTCCATAACAAGCTCTGTCAGTTTGAGAGTGTGGTCTCATTGTCAAGATGAAATGCAGTCACGGTGATCTTTAGCCACAGCACTTCTAGAATGAAGGCCAGAAAAATAATCCCTGCTCCTATTCTTCGAGATAGATTTAACAGCTTCTAACTTTCTAGCGAATTAGATAAATGGGTTGCCTTAAACTTACGCCAATACACTTCAAAATTGCACGTCTTTCACTTCCAACAAATAACATAACATGGACTCAACTGCTGCACTTCGAGAAAAAAAAACTTTCAATGATTCAACAACCACTGTATAAGCCATTAAAAGGGATCTGTATAACAAAAGAGAGGAAATCATAGCGATCAAGTCTTGCAAAATATTAAGTAATTTTGGTGGGAGACTTGAAGAGTAGTAGGTAGGTTCCAAAAAGGTACTTAAATATTAATTAAATTTTTTATGTTTTCTATGAAGAGGGGACCAACAGCTTAATAAGACAGAAAACGGGCTAGTGATTGACTTGAAGGATAATTTAAGTTGCTTTGGCTTTTATTATAAATGCATGACTGCAAAAGTTTACATCATACATAAAGCCCTCATCATATAAATGTCACTTAAATATAAAATGCATGATAAAGACTATCATTAATATGGACTCAAGGCCACAGGCAATCTTGGGTAATCCTAAATAAAATTCATGCATATTAGCACAAGTAAGAAAATATATATACCAAGATTTTGCATAAAAGCTGTCCTTGTTAAGCCTAACACAAGGTTACCATCCTAACAATGTTTTCATAAGGAGAGGAGGAATGAATCTGTCCTCTACTAAATAAATAGTCTCATATTCAATGAAAATATAAAGCAATGTCAATAGATAGCTAGAAGAAAGTGGCAGGTTGTCGAGTCTAATGTAGATGGCAGAGGGTTACTAGCCACTATTGTAGACAGACAAACTTTTGTAGGTGAATGATAGCAATAGTTGGAAATGGTAATTCGCTCAAATGGTGTGAATGAAAGTGGCACGAGAGTGGATGAAGGCACTCTAGGTATACAACAATTGTAGGAATACACAACCTAATGCGACAACAAAAGATTCGCAATTAGGATAGTAAGCAATGCGGATTACAAGGGCATAACAAAAATCAAAGAAGGGTGTTGAGCGGGTGCAAAACACTGGATCTCATGGGGTAGGGGGCGAACTAAACGACTTGGTCTCATGATGTATGAAAAAAAATAGGAAGTGCAATGATGGGATGTGGTGATTAAAATTGTGTTTGAGTTAGAGATGCAAAGTATGGGTGAGCAGTAGAAGCAACAATGCAATGTACAGAATGTGGCGGCACGGTGTGAGCAAAAAATGCACAAGAAAGCAAAGGTCAAGTGTAGTTGGACAAGTGTGTTCGATGTGAGAAAGACATGATGCAACATGACAAAAGGAATATTGGATGTAAAACCTAGGAGAAGGCATTGTAGGAATTGGCATTATAGTATCTTGAGGTTGAGACGTAAACTTGGCTCTAATATCACCTTATAAAGGTTAGTTGGTAAGAATAGAGGTAGACGAGGAAGAGATGAAGCAATAGAGAAGAACTAGAGGGAGAGTTATTGTAGACTAAGAGAGAGATTGAAAAACTCAATATTCAAATTATTTTCATTCAAAAATAATAATCTCATCCTAGCCATGATGTATTATTTACAGTGAAGGAACCCTAGGATTCAAGAAAACAAAGCAAAAAAATAAAAAAGATAGGAAAAAAAACATATTAAATAAAAGAAAGAACAAATTCAAATGGTCCATAAATACATAGTTTGAAATAAAACAAGGAAATATCTAATCAATAATCCCTCAATGCTAAACGTATATCTAGATTGGACAGTGATTAAAAAAAGTCACGCATCTCACATAAAGTTAGTCAAATTTAAGCCACAATTTGTACACAATAATATCATGATGGTATAATACAACATCGACATTAAAGTCATGGGAAACTCCCAAAAAGTACATACCAAATAAAAACCAGGTGCAAAAATTGTGTGAGCATTTTTAACAACACTGAAACTGAATTAAGTAAGATTAATAACTAAATGAAAAACAATTCTGGAGGTCAATTCATTTCTCACTTAAAAGCAAACAATAAACTCTAAAAAAAGAGGAAAAAAAAAACTTATCATCATTGCTATAAGCGAAGAGCAAAAAATTGTTTAACAGATGCAACTATAATATGTCATTAAAAAAGAATTCTATTGGAATGGCTATTTTGCATATTCGTCTCATCTCTAAAATTAGCATCAAATTACATAATACATTAAAACAAAAACAATAGAAAATATAAGCAATGCAGGGTACCTGTCAAGAGATACATCATAAACCATTTTGGTAGTTCCTGCTCTCCAATTTCCATAAACAACTTTAATAGCATCTTTCACAACAATTTCCTTGTTAACATAAATTGGAGCCTGTGCAGAGTGAATTTCAGTACAGCTAAGGTTTCAAATATTATAAATTCTAAGGTAATTGTTTACAAAATGCTTAAAACAGAAGATCAAGGCATTATGTTGGTTGATAGAACCATATCACGAAATGCTTTCCTAATTGAGACTATTTGAAGAACCGTGAACAGCATAAGCATATAAATATAATACCTTGAATCTTTCTGCCAAATTTAATGCATCTGAGGGACGGGCATCAATGCATATACTGGTATTGTCTGCATCCTGCAAATTATTAAATCAAAAGATAAAGAATGGTTCTCTGAGAAGTTGGTAAAATGGGGGCGTACACAGTGCATGGAGCTCCCTCTAATGCAATGTTTGGAGAGGGCTTGATGTACACAGTGTTTTACCCCTGCAGGTGCAAAGATGTTATTTCTGTGATGCAAACATAAGACCTCCAGAATGCACTAGAGGAAGCTTAAACCGTGCACTATGCCTTCAGACTGACTATTAACTAAGGATGCTGAATGCTTTCATCCATTTCTAAAACAATGCAACCTGGAAACTATCCCCAGGCTATACTACACTAAGGACATCAAGAGACACATTGATGATCCTATGGAGAGACCACACGACCATTAGGTAGATCACAGCAGTGACCTACATCTCCATCCCCATCCCATTCTCGGGATGCATATCAATTTTTCTAAGACTATTTACATAGAATTGATCACTCTTCACCACCTTTCTGAGATATATACGTGCATAGTATGTATTGACCACCCTGTTTGTAATACGCACCATCTTTACCTGAAAAAACAAATATTTTTCTTCATGAGGATTAAAATAAATTACTTACAAAAAATAGTGTATCTAATTAACTTCTATTTATGTGGAATAGTACATTTTCATAAATGAGTAGACCATTTGTAAATATCTTTGTCCTAATAACATATATGCAATGACAACGAATCTGTCCATGTTTACAATAAAACAAGTCGCAATGTCTGCCACAACACAAAGTTTGCATCAACTCCAACCACCTACAATAGAAGTCAATGAATCATTGTTGCTAAACACTTTCACTTTGAAAGAGTTGGCTCTTTTGATCAAATGGTCAAAAGAACCAAGCTTAAGCTATTTTATTGAACTCATACATGAAAGGTTCAAAATTTTTCAGCAAAAAATTTTTGACCATCATAATTAGAAATGACAGCTTAATTCAGCTGAAGTCGTTCATCATCATATTTTGGACAGGAAATCCTTGCATGGAGCTTTAAGTAGGTATAAGCTTAGACAGAAACTCAGCTAGCTTCATTTCCTTTTAAACTTTTACATTAAGCCCTATGGTACAACAAAACATATAAAAAAACATCATCAAAGAGTTGCACCCAGTACCAGTCAATATTGTAGAAGTTCCTAACCTCATAGCCGAATGTTCCCACAATATTTTTGACAAATTGAAACTGATCAGGGCATTCCTGCATTAAGTTCATATAAGAGCCAACCAGCAAGTTTAAAAGTAAAGATCAACAAGATACCTCATGTTCTTCACCAGAAATAGCATCAATGAGCCTAATAATTGCAAATTCCCCTTAATAAAGAAAACGAGAAGAAATCATTCGTCCATTAAACAAAAAATAGTTTTCAAACTAAATATAATGTATGATTCCTGAAACAGAATATAGTGGTTATCATGTTTGCATACCTACAATGATAGGCAATAATAGGTCTCCGTCACAAGCAATTTTCAGAAAAACAGTTGGACTCTGAAATCTCCTTAAAAAATCATGACCAACAGAATGAACGTTGTCTACTCGTCTTCTATGACTAGAAAAGGGGTATTTTTTACCGGACAAGTGCAATTTAGTCTCTTCTATAAAACCCTGCTTCCACGAGTTGTAGTGTCTGACCGTTTCTGCATGAGAAATCATTGCTACAAATAACATACATAAAGGGAGTGCTTCCTGACTGAAATCAGAAAGAGAAAAGCCAGCATTTATCAAGTAATTTGAAAGAGAACGAGACTTGAACCCAACATGCTAATCTGAAGAGGAAGGCTTCTGCATTTGGAATTTTTGCTTAGAAATATTTATAGGGAACAAAATAAAACTGTATTAGCTACAATCCTAGATTGGCGTCAAAGAAATGTATTGACAAAATCTTTAATATGTTTGTCTCCAGATTAATCATCATAAACTGCCTTATCCAAAATGATTAAGCCTTTAATAATACTTTTTTCATTATTTTCTTTATAGAAATAAAAAGTATGCCTCCACCCATGGAGTGAGCACAGCTTTACGAGTGATTCTTCAACATTTTCTTCCATGAACAAATTTCTATAGTAATGTTCATAATTAATTTTATGAAGAAGAGATAACATAGAAAATTAATTATTAATGATTACATATCTCGAGGGAATTGGTACACAATCCAAGGGAGAGAGGAGAGGGGAAGAAAGTGTACATAAACCTAGGGAAGAGAAAAAGATAAAGTGAATACAAACCGAAGTAAGGAGAAAGAGGAGAAGAAGATTCAAGCCACCAAACTTGTTTAAATATTCTTCGGCAAATTCATAAGATCCTAAGGCAGCACTTCTATCAACGAGGATCTTCAATACATGCAAAAGTTATTTAAGACTAACAACAGAAGATATAATGTACCCTTATTACATATTTAAAACATGAAAACGCACTTAAAATATGTTGAAAATTATTTTGATAGAGAAGCATGCAACAATTGCATGGTGAAGAATTGATGGCTATGATGGTCCTGCATCAATTCTCCTTGGTTAAAAGAAATTCTATGAAGTGTTTAAAGACCCAATGGCGGCCATGGTGGTGGTAGAGAACATAAGCATCTTGTTTGGCAGCAATAAAAAGAAATGTATAACTACGAAAGTAACACCAGGGCTTCAGCTCTAAGTGTCATCAATCATCATGCTAAAGTATATGATAAGCAATCCGAGCAAGAAACACATGGCAATCTGACAGAAATAGCAGTAATAGAACAAAGTCATTCTTAAGTAACTACTAACTAGTAATGGAAACAAAATATAGTTAAATAATATGTATCCATTTCAAGATGGAGGTGATCAAAATTTGTATCCATATTACTCCAATATCATATCATACTCAAGCACAATCACTATATAATAATTCAGCTCGGACTTTAGACCAAATTTCAAATCTTAAAAATTAACAATCTTCCTTATGAGCCAAGTCATAATCAGATATTGGCCTGTCGCCATAACAATGTTGATGTAGTGGATCGTCGGAAGAATCGACCTGCAAGAAGGATTTTTGTTCCCAATCCAGGGAAGAAGAAGAAACAAAGCTTCAAAGCTTTCTAATGGGGATAATATCATTCAATGAGTCCTTTCTTCTTACACATTCCCAATTTATAATACTAAAGTAAGAAAAACCTAGAGAATCCTAGAAGATTCTGATAGGAAATACTTGATTTCAAGTAGTTCCTAACCAAAACTGAAGCCGAACAAGGAGAAAACTGCTGTACTTGATGAAATGTAATTGATATACAAGTTCAATCAAAGTGACTGCTCAACAATGAATATCATATTGATGATAAGAGAAAAAATGACTAGAATAGTATAATATATAATGATCGTGGTATAAAGTATAAGATTCTTCGACCCAATGCTCTGCAAAATCGTGATCATAATTATGGCAATGAAAATATGAAGCAAGTCTGCTAGTTTATTTATTTAAAAAATATTGCTCATATTCATAATCATCTTAGAAGAAAATGCCTCCTATATGTCATGTCATATATCCGCAATGATCAAACATGTGTTTTCATTTTTTTTCCCAAAAATCAGAGTTGAATGTTGACAAGATGCCCCAACACAGTTGAAACATGCGTCAACTATATATAGCAGATGGGTTAGATATTCGAGCCTCCTAAAATCTTGTTTCTTACATCAACTTGTAGTTGATTCAATTCTTGCATACTCTTATTTCCTCTTTGGTGCCATATCAATCCCTCTTTCAAAATCAGCACCTCGACGCTGAAAATCAGCACCTCGACGCTGAAAATCAGCACCTCGACGCTGAAAATCAGCACCTCGACGCTGAAAATCAGCACCTCGACGCTGAAAATCAGCACCTCGACGCTGAAAATCAGCACCTCGACGCTGAAAATCAGCACCTCGACGCTGAAAATCAGCACCTCGACGATCATTCCCCGTGCTTATCTCCTCTCTGGAGAATGGCTCTAGAGGTGGCATGTCGTCGTCACCTTCAAGAATCTCCACCTCCGGATTCCTCCTCCCCCGGATTGGGTTCGGATTTCCTCCTACGCCATGGCCGTCAGTGGTCTCTCTCACTTCCGATGTGTCCGGATGGGTCTTCATCTCCAATAATTTCTTCATCATTTCTTCCATCGCCGCGAACCTCCCTTCCAACCTCTCATTGTTGGTGGAGATCTCCATGAATTTCCCCTCCAGATCTGTCTTCAGTTGACCAAACTCGCCTTCTAAAGCTTCCACCTTCTTCCCGGCCATCTTTCTTTTAACGGATCCACAAAAATCTTTTTCCGGAGACGACGATCTTGCTGAAATTTCAGAATTTCAGCCGCCGGTTGTCCCGAATCGGAGCTCTGATACCAATTTGATAGGAAATACTTGATTTCAAGTAGTTCCTAACCCAAAACTGAAGCCGAACAAGGAGAAAAACTGCTGTCTCCAACAGTGGACAGCAACTATGCGCAGGAAAAACAGTGAATATTGCGAGAATATTGGGAGACAACGCAAGCAAAGACTTGTATTTTTACTAGTAGACGAAACAAATAGCAAGATACAATTTGTTCTTCAATTCGAGAGGAAGAACGTACTCTCCAAAGTCTCCGGCGAAGCCAAGAGCCCAAGACAAAACCTAGATCTCAAGAGAAAACTCAAATTCAAGATAAGCAGCCAATCCCCCCAAAACTCCTAATTATACAAAAAAATCATAAAGGATAATAATGGACTTCCTAAAACAGCCTCCCATTCAAAAATTTTCCCTCCCCCATGCGTTTTAGCCGCTGTTTGGGCCCCCCGACACGCGCTCCGCGCGTTCCGTCTGGTTCCGCCCGACGTTGGTTCGTCGGGTGTAGAACCGGACCGGTCCAGCTGGGACCGGTCCAGGCGTAACAGATTCTAGAAAGCTTGTAACAAACTTGTAACAATCAAATAAAATAAGCCAAGGGACATTATAAGCTAAAATGCACCGCATCAAATGTTAAATTTTCTGATCATCATGTGAAAAATACTTGCTTGAAACTATAACTCAATCTCTACCACCAAATCATGCTCATGTTCAAGTACATCATCACACATAGGCTCGATTGCAAGCAACTAAGAAACATCATCAATTCAAAATAAGTCTGTAGTGAAAGTGGTGAGAATTTGTTGCTATTTTAAAAGGTAAAACTCGACCTTGCACAACGAGCATGAAGTCCAACGTTAAA